TGCCTTCTACAGACGAACTGGCCGTGACACAGGCGGATACAGCGAATCCTGCTCCGGGTGGGCCTACCACGGCGACGGGGACACTTGACCCCGCTGCCCCTCTAACCCCGGCACGAACGCGATTGCGGGAGACCCCGGCGACGGGTCTCTCTGGGGATCGGGACTTTGGTGTTGACGGGCCTCCCACAGTGGCGGGCGGTTCTGATCCCGCCGCTCTTAAAACCCTGTCGCGGTCGTGGTCTGTGGGGGGGCCACCTCCCGTTCAGGACGGGCCGGCGACCCGCACGCGTTCCAAGTCCCTTTCCTTTCATTAATTGTTGTTCTTGTTGTTGTTGTGTTGTTATAATCTCCGTTGTCTGGTGATGCCCGATGGTTGTAATTTGCTCGCATTATTTTGTTCTGTTGCAGCCGGGGACGGCTGGGTTTTTCATCAGGGGGGGGGGGGTCATGTAATGCGAGCAAGGAAAGAGGGGGCGGAGTCTGGGTCACGTGAGGAGAAGGAGTCAGGGTCATGTGAGAGAGAGGATTTAGGGGGAGAACCGGAAGGGATCTAGGAGTTGAGAAGGAGTGGAAACAGGAGGAGGCCACGGTGGGCAGTGGCGAGAGGGTGGCGCGATTGCCACGTGGTGGAAGGCCACGGCACCGTCAGCCAGCAGTGTACGTGGGGCACAGCAGAGCTAGTGGGCTAGAGTTAGTGGAGTAGAGCTAGCGGAGGAGAGGTAGTGGAATGTGGGAAGCTAGCCGGGCGTGAAGAGCTAGCAGAGTGTGCGGGGCACACAGAGCAGCAGTGTGGCTGCAGAGCGGAGCAGCGGTGTGGCTGCAGACGGAGCAGCGGTGTGGCTGCGGAGTGGAGCAGCGGTGTGGCTGTGGAGCGGAGCAGCGGTGTGGCTGCAGGGTGCACGGTGGAGGAGGTGCGGGTCTGAGCGAGGACGCCGTAGGGGCGAGAGAGACAAGAATCCGAATAAAGGACAACGGAGATCTACACTGTTTGAAGAGTAATTTATTACACATATAAGCAAGGACACAGATCATGCAACTGAGTCTTGCTGCGGAAAGCTCCGGGGGTGGACCCCGCAATCGACCAGGGATGGCGAGGCTTACAGAGTAGCAATGTGTCACCGAGTATGAGTTTGGCACTGACAGACGAAGCATCGCTAAAAGTTGTATTCTACATTGAGTGCCAGCTCCCACTAGTAGCTGCAGCAAGAGAGAAAGAGTGACGAGCAACGACAAGCAATCAACCTGGAGAAAGGGCGGAAAAGCACCAAGCATCAACCAAGCGAGCATCGCAAAGCAGCAGCGGCTAACGACTACCCACGAGCGTGCGGACTCGGAAGCCGAGCACACTGCTGCAAATGTCAAATCTATAAGGACAAACCGTGCCTGGTGCAAGGGAGAGAGCGTGACCGGCGCAACCTAGAAAGAGTGTTGGCACCGGCAACTAGTGGACGAGCTGCGAGAGCAATCGTGCCTTGCCAGAGAGCATGGAGTAGGAGAGAGCGCCTAACCAGCACAACCGAGCAAGAGTGTCGGCACCGGCAACCAGCGAACGAGCTGCGAGAGCAATCGTGCCTCGCCAGAGAGCACGGAGCAGGAGAGAGAGCGCATAACCATCGCAACCGAGCAAGAGTGTCGGCACCGTCGACCTGCGGACGCGCTGCGAGCGCAATCGTGCATCGCTAGAGAACACGGAGCAGGAGAGAGAGAAAGCGCAACCAGCGCAGCTGAGCAAGAGTGCCGGCCCCGGCGACCTGCGGACGAGCTGCAAGCACAATCGGGTACCTTCAAAGACAAGCGTTGTGCCGACTCAGCTCATCCAGCAGCAGAGAGGCCTGCAACTGCCGCCAAGAGAGAGAGCGTCGTGTGTAAGACACGCCCACACACACACACGACTCATCGCTCAGCAGGGAACCAAGGAATTTTTGGTACAAGAAACGCCCCACCTCGGCGTCTGCTTAACACAAAGAGTTAAGCAAGGAGACAATACACCAACACACACATAATGCACATATTGGGACTAATAAGATTACTCCAAAGTTCTCTTTGTGTTTCAAAAAGGGTGGCCATCCTAAGGTGGTGCGTTAACTACTAGCTGATTGTGAAACCATTGCTGATAATTGAGTTACGTGGATACGGTCGTTTAGAAGTATTTTAGTCATTATTTTTGTTAATAGCCTAACTGTACCAATGAATTCATTGATGAAACGAAACATTTATAAACATATATTTTACGAATCTACACACTCACAGGAAGACTATTGTGTTAAAATATTTCTTTTGATCACAGAATCTTGCCTGCTACTTTATTGAAGCCTTAGCCAATTGATAAGCATTTTATAGACAAGCAGGCACACTTCTGCACACCATTGTTCTAAGACATTTCGTTAATTGCATAATCTTACCAATGAATTCATTGAGGTCTACTTTTGCTTTCGGGACATGTTTCTTTATTACTGTTCATATGAATAGTGTCTCATACATTTATAATAAACCCCGTTGAGACGACGTCGGGAATTGAGAATTCTTTATTCAGTTTTCGTTCACAGCTTCTACCACATTCGTTCCTCCAGTTCCCTTGCTCTTTCACGCTGTTGGCTGACAGCGTGAGAGAGAGACTGCCGCGGCCCGCCACGTGGCAGGCTCCGGACCACGGCACCAGCGTGGCTTCCCCCTTCGTTCCTCCGCACACTGACCCACCTGCTGTCCTTCTCCGCCCTTTTTAATCCCTGGACCGCGTGATGCCCCGCAGCCAATCCTCAGCCACACCTCTGGAACTTTCCCGAAGCTACTGTACGGCTCCAGGGCCACGCCCTAGCTCGACTCCCCATTGGTTGCGGGCTGAAGCCAGCAGAGCCAATCATCATCATCATCCAGGTGTAACCTTCACATTACACCAGGGCCACGCCCCTGGCTCGACTCCCCATTGGTTGCGGGCTGAGGCCGGCAGAGCCCATCATTATCATCCAGGTGTAACCTTACATTACACATTTTAAGGACTTTTTCCTATCACCGTGTATGCTCGCTTTACTCTGAGGAATTAGTCAATTGTTCTGTTACCAAGTTTAACATACGTAATCATTGAGGGTTAAATGTACGGATCAATGAGTAGGACATCTTGAGGAGTACCGTGTTGACAATTCCGAGCATACGTGTTCGCATGTTAGAATGTTTTAGAAATTAAAGTTGCTTAACACAGAAGAGTCTGAGTGGCGCCTTCCTAAGTTCATGCGTAATAATCTTAATTATAAGAACTGTATTCTGCGGTGAGATCTGAATTTTGAGACCTGACATAAACACTAAAACATAATCAGTAAAAGTTAAAGCGAGAATCATTGTATTATCCTGATTGATAATACAACTCTAGATAATGAAGCCAAGCCAAATTAGCATAATTAGATACAATCGCATAACTTAATACATTTACACATCCCCAATTAGCATAAATACACAATTTACATAACTGCATAAATTATCATAGTTTCAGGAAATTGTTCATTTTTTATTTTCAGTAAAAAAATATATTTTTCAAGACCGAATATATACAACAAAATGAACGACAACACGCCATAGAATCTCACTCAACCATGGTCAATTGGCGATAAGGCGTGGCTGCATTATCCACAGGTCCCACTCACATACCTCTCCTAAATTGCATCGACCATGGCAGGGCCCTGTTGGGATTATTGAAGTAAAGTGGTCATAATTTGTGCGTGGGCAATCGGGATGTCGCCAGTTGGTACATTCACCAGTCGTGCCTGAAACCTATATTCCGAACATCACCCGAGCATCTCATTCCCATGCCTTGGTTTGCTTGAGTCAGGGGTGTCCGACAAGCCGCTACGGCCACCAAAGGCACCTGGATAACAAGTGCATGACCCTGTGCCGCCCACAGAGACGAATGTGACCCAGAACGCTTCAGAGTGGGACCCTGGGGAGGAACAACGTCAAGTGGGAGCCACTGGTGGACCCCCGGAAGGTGCTGATGCCACCACTGCACATTAAATTGGGCCTTATGAAAAATTTGTCAGAGCTGTAGATAAGGAGTCGGCAGCCTTCAAGTACCTTCAAGACTTCTTCCCTAAGCTGTCTGAGGCAAAGGTCAAAGTTGGTGTCTTCATCGGGCCACAGATAAAGAAGATCATGGAGTGTAATTAATTCCCCAAGAAGCTCAGTAGTAAGGAGAAAGTGGCTTGGAACAGCTTTGTCACCATGGTTCGTGGCTTCCTGGAGCTGGTTGAGATTCTGGTGAAGAACTACGGCACAATTGGCTGTAGGATGTCCCTCAAAGTCCATATCCTTGATAAATTCAAGGAGAACATGGGAGTGTACTCGGAGGAGCAAGGCGAGCGCTTCCACTAGGATATACTGGACTTTGAATGCCGCTACCAAGGAAAGTATAACGAGAACATGATGGGAGACTAATTTGGGAGCTGATTCGTGAAAGTGATTTACAGTATAATCGTAAATCTCGAAAAACTACTCACTTCTAAATCTTCTGTAGTCATTATTTTATTACTTTAGTATAAATACATGCTAATTTAGATTCCTATGTTGTTTTTTCTGACTTTATGTGAACGAAAAGACACATTCGCCTGTTTTCTCATTGAAAATAGGTAAATATCAAAATATCACTGTCCTGGTCACAAAATAAAAGTTTGTGGGGAATAATAGCCATTTTATACACTTTTTAGGCATAAGCAATTACGAAATAACACTTTCTACGCAGAACAAAAATTGTGTTTACATAGTGTTATTAGTGTAGGAGCATGAGAAAGAGAGAAAAGAACAACCATCTGTAAACTTAGTGACGTTCTTCTGGACATAACAATAGCAAAATATTAATGAATCTGAATTCAGTTGGTGAATATGTGTGGTCTGCAACGATAATGCCAAACTTCATTTACTTTCTGAAAAGATTTGTAATGATTTGCACTGACCATCTACTTACTCTGTCCGTGTGATTATGCATGGTGACAGTTTAATATTGTTCAACTGTTTACCTGACGTGAGATCACTTGTACAACTGCCGTTTGTTGGAGTTGAGCCAGTTTCAAACATGTAGGTGGCTTTTGCAGGATCTTTATTTGGGATTTCAACCTGAACGCTAATTTCATGTTGCTTCCCTTTTTCCAGAGAGTCTTCAGTAACTACCAAGCCTTGAGAATAAATACCTTAAGGAGGAAATTTAAAAAATCACATAGTATCATATGGTGCATGTAAAATACCATCAAATTATTAGTCATAAGTATTGTAAGGTATACAATTATCATGTGATCCAATCCTTATTGCTATCACAAAATATATTGTGCATAGACGTTTAAAGCATTCGGTGCCTATTTAAAAAAAATGCATGTGAAAGTATGCCCGTCCACAGTTAACCTCTACTGAAATACCAAGAGATAGAGAGCTATTAGCCAGTTGACTTAGTTTCAATAGTCAAAGAGTATGATAAATGTTTAACTTTTCAAAAAAGCATTGTATATTGGACTTCATCTTTGACAGATTATATTTATGAGTTAAAAATGGAGCCACTCATTTCAAAGTTTGCCAACATGTGGGATAGTAGGGGTGACCTCCTAAGAGGGACGCATGGACAGTCACTTGACTCTATTGACATATAAAACCCTCCAAATTGAGTCGGCTTAGTATCTCTCAGATATTCATCTTCCACTACATAATCTACGTCAACCTTAAACAAGCATCTGATCATTTGTCGACTCGTTGTCAGGTTAAGAAAACAATTTGGTTCCGGAGTCTTCCCGATCACCACACACACACACTTTGGAAGAAAGCGATCATCACACTGAACATTCAATGACTTCCGCTTCTACATGGCTTAAGATCGGTGCTTTAACTTTTTTGGCCCATGAACCACTCAGACGATGCAAACATTTCCGTGAACCCCCCCCCCCGCCCCCTCCATGACAAAACGCATTCACTTCTCTCTCTAAATACCATCAATAATACAAAGTGATTCATATTACTATGGGGGTTTTTTTCTTAGGGAAGGCATTTAGATCTTAGGGTTAGGTTAGTTTAATAATGTTTTCATTTAATGTCAGAAGTAAAATATTAACTAATATCAAAAACAAAAGATTTGAACATTGTCGTTGTTTCCAGATCAACCTGCATTTGCATGACAGCCCAGCGGATCACCTGGAGGACTGTCGCTGACCACCGGTGGTCCGAGGACCGCACTTTGAGAACCACTGCTTTATAACCAAAGTGAGTTTCATGTTACATTGATATTCGATGACAAACTCGGTTTTGAATGCTTACCAGTAGAAGTCATGGCTTCAAAATCCACGTCTGTAAGTTTGTCCATTTTCCAGTGGTAGGTAATTATTTCACCGTCGACACAGTTAGCACACCTGACTGAAAGTACTAGCGGCTCTGTCGTGGTAGTTTTCATATTACAGTTACCAACACAACTGTAAAACAACACTTAATTATTTATAAATCACTGTGTGCTTTCGTGTGATGTTTCTAAAACCCTGACATTTATACAACAATTATAGCATGTTCACTTTTCTGTGGTTCCTACAAGGACAATGATCTCCCCCATATAACCATATAAGGCATACGGATTTTGAGGGTTATTACTATTAGCGAGCACCTATTAAGGCCAGTGCAATACACGATGGAGTGGTGTAACCCAGTTGATATTTACACATCACACCAGATACTGAGTCGACCTCTAGGAAGCCCAGAACACGTTCATATACAAATTGTCAATGATCTTATCCATCATCAGAAATTTATCCCAGGTTGCCTGGAGTTATAGCTCAGTGTGCTAATCATTGCATCACCACTCCCTTACATGTACACACAAAGAGATAAATTGTTCTCTTCATTGGGTTCTTTTAATATCTAGAAATTTAATCTCGTCAACTAATGATCACTATCCACATTCAATATTGCCATGTCTGGCCAACTACTATCAAGAAGTCAACTGCAGTGCAAAGTATACCTTATGTATACGTCCACAAAACCTCCTCCCTTGATTTGTAGAGCTTGTGTTCTGTTTTCTTTGCGTGCATCTTTAGTTGCTGTGACTTCAGCCAATATAACAGCATTTATTTCCAACTCAGACTGTGGAATTGATATTGTTCCACTATCCATTTCACTGAACTTGCAGTTTGCCGTGACATTGTTTGGAGATGTTTTGGTGCATTTCCACTGAAACACTATGCCCGTGTTCGACTGGCTGACGTCATCGGGATCGTACGACAGCTCAGATGCGTCGACTTGCACGTCGGCCCCATTGCTAACGGTCCTGGTGTCTCCACCTGTGATGTACACTTCTAAAGGTGTCGGTTGAACAATGACAGTGAGGTTGTCCTTCATGATTGGCACATATATTGAGGAGAGATTGACTGCGACCTCAATTAAGAAGGTACCCCCAGTAAAATATAAGGGGTCAAATCGTTGATGAATGGCATCATACCCAGGCATGATTTTAATGTTTCCAGTTTGAAGGTTTTTGATGGACCAGATGTACTTGTCTTCATTATATTGGACCATGCATGTCAAAATAAGATTAATTACCAAGTCCATTGCTTTAGAAATGCGTAATACCCCAGTCTTATTGGTGCTTTGTACATCATCTACTAAAGTGACATCTTCTGGAACACAGCCATAGCTGTTGACATAAATATTTTTTTCATATGTGTTGGTAACATTATTGATTTCCTGAACTACCATGTGGTACATTCCAAAAGCTGAATAATTATAAGACAACTCTATGAGGTCGGAAGTATACGGAATTGTCTCACTGCTAAGTAGCCATTTATTACAATTATTGGGGCCTTGAATAACTGTATGATTGTCTCCAAAATCCCAGAGGTAACATGTACCACAAAATAATGCATTACTTATTTCGAACTTTACTAATCCTTGCAAATTCATCACCTTATATGTTACTTCAGTGGGATAATTTTTGCTGCACTTTAAAAGTACTTCCATGCGGAGTGCTATGCTGTCATGCCATTGAGTGGGCCTGATCCGTAAACCACTACTGACTAATGGATTGTAAAAATATTGATACTTTGGTGTTTCCGAGTCTGAGTTGAAAGGAAATAGCTGCACACAGAGAAAATATTATGTTAGTACTATCCATATTATTTTGTATAGTGTGAAGGCTGCAAAAACAAACCTGTTTATGAGCAAAGGTACACAAATGGCGTTAATACTACGTCATTAATTGCACAATCCACACCATGAAGCCAAGCCAACTACTTTATTCACAAGCTTTGCCACATCGTCACTGTATGTAACTTTACATAAATTCACTTCCTTGCTTCCTAACAACTTCCCCAATATGTTTTGTCAGCAGTAAATACAATTATACTGCCTTCAGACCATTTAACATAATGAAGGTGTAATTTTCATCATCAGCCATGATCTGCCCGCTGCTGAATGAAGGCTTCCCCAAGCTATCGCTATCCTTAATATCTAGTACCTGCACACGGCTTGATTTCATTACTCTCGCTCACCATCAGCCTTCATATTATCAGCGCTTGCAGTTTAAGGACGTTTTACGGATGTGCTAAAGCGTCATTTGAAAGCTACCTTTGAATAAAACAATCCATAAATGTGTTTTGAGCAACGACTCACCTCCACATTTATTGCCCACCAAAGCAAGGTCACTGGGCTCAGTGCGTCCAATGTATAGGCCTTCACCCAGCTAGGATTTAAATTATACCGTGCATCCACCTGTGGCACTGACCCTTGTAAAATCAATCCTGTGACCTTTTCCACGCTCGGGAACACAATCTGTAAGTATTCAAATGAGGTTTGGAACTTTGGACGCCAGAAGCCCAGCATGTTGTCCAGACGAGCATACTTGGATGAAAAGTTGGCATTGTATTCTGATGAGGCTGTTAACAGGGCATCCGACAAGTTGCCCATTTTCAGTCCGATAGGACGCTTGTAATCTAAAATTGCACAGGGAACATCGTTACTTTTCACACCAGTCAATTGCAATGACAACTGGTCTCTCTCCCATGGTCATTTTTCTTTAATAAAAAGTAAAGTGTTGCAGCTCATTGGCATGTAACATTTCTTTTTTGTTTTACAAATGAGTCTTAAATAATGTATACCTGAGGATATGATTTAATCTTGATTTGACACGTAAGATTTCGCGACTAATATCATCCATAACACAGGTTTTTTTGGGTTAGATGGCGTAATGGCGTAAATATATAAATGTGGTGTTAAACCCGCCATTGCCAATTAATAAGATTTGTCAAGTAAACAGAACATGCCAATACGTTACTAGTACAGCACACCGGTGTGTTGGAGAACCAAGCTACAACAGTTACAATCTGAGTATGGCGTTTCGCCAGTAATTGCAACTAAATTTCGATTTAAAGCTTTCGTGACTGCAGGGATTCATCTTCTTGGTTCTTTCGGTAAAGTCACGTAGAAGGCAAGTAATAAAATAATAAAAATAAAACGTAATAAATAAAATAATTCTCACGACGTTTCGGCTACAACGCAAGCAGCCGTCTTCAGGTGAAGAATGAGACACTGCCAAGCTAGGAGCTTATATATAAGCTGGGTTGGGGTCACAAAAAAGATCTCCAAAATCCTGATTAAACACAAGATCCAGGTCCGATTCAACACAGTACATAAAATCCGTGATCTGGTCCCGTCTGTAAAAGATGTGGTTCCAGACATACAGTACGCTGGCGTCTACAAACTAAGTTGCCTCTGTGGTAGCAGTTGCATTTGGGGAAACCAAACGACATGTCTCGGACCAAATCCGTGAACATAAAGCAGACCTGAAACACGGTAGGACAAATGTGGTGCCACAACGACGGGGCCGCTCTGCCGAGCCAGGGAGCCGCCCGGCTTCCACCACTGCACTGCCCCCCATCACCCCCCCCCCACGTAAGCACGCACCCGCACCCACGTAGGGCCTTGTGGTCGGGTCACCTACCCTGAGTTTTCACCCGAGGGCCCCCTCGGGGGGTTACCCCACGGTTTCTCAAGGCCAGGGAATTGGACAGGACCCTTCCCAGGCTAAGTAACACTGCGGCGCCGTGGGCGGATTTGAGATCGCACGACCACGGCGAGCTCAGAGAGCCCCGCAGTTAGAAACGCATACAAACACAAACACGGGTCAGCAAGGCAGATAGCTAGGATCAGGACCCGGGGCTGCTGCTTAGCAAAAAGGTCAAAAGGCCGGCGGGATCGCAAAAGGGCGGGAAATCCTAGGCTCAGGATTGGTCGAGAGACCAAGGCGGTCGGGACGGGGGCGCCTAGCTTTGATGTGGATAGTTTAAAAGAAAACGCAGGGGCAGTAGGGGACTCTCTTCTTCTGGAGTAGTGACACGGGGTCAACGACGAGGGAATCATCGGGCGAGCCGCAGGATCGTCTGCAGGACGACCTGAGCGCCGCAAGGTCACCTAGGACTACAGACGGTATCGTATTGCGCGCCTTACAACACCTCAGAGCGGAGAGTGGGATCCGTAGGAGAAGGTTAGTTCGGGGTAAGGACGAATAGGAAAGCGGTGTAGCAGAGAGCGCAGCATAGAATAGGGCTGCACGCCACTAGAGAGTGGGTTGGAAGCGCCTTGCTGGCTCGTACACACACACGGGTGGCTCGGTGGGTTAACAAGGGTTAATAAAGTCTCGAGCGTAGTAACAAAACCGTGTTGTTGGGTGTTTTTAAACGTGGTATTGGCGTGCACTGCATTCGCGGGTGTGGGGTCGTTGTATGCGTAAAGGCCGTGGTCTCTGTACGATGGTGCGGGTACGGAGGTGTGTGTGTTAACGCCCGGGGAGAGCACTTTTGTGTGTTGGCGTGCCTGCGCAGCCGTGTGAGAGGAGAGTCGTCCTTGCACGATACTTGTGTTGACGTGCACGCGCGAGTGCGGGAGGGGACGGGTCGTCGTGTCGGCGTGCACCCCGCTCGCGTGTGCGAAACCGCGGTGCGCAGTGAAGCTGTTGGCTTTGTGCGAGCTTGTGTGTGCTCGAGCGCGTAATCGGCTGCGCATTGTTGTACGGTTTATCTCGCGCGCACGGCGGCGGCAACTTGAGTCGTTGTGTCGGCGTGTGCCCCGCTTGCGTGTGCTCGTTACGTGTTATAAGTGTGAACGCGTGTGGTACGGTGTATGCGTAAGTTCTCGTCGTGCGAAATCGGCGTACCCCAGGTGCGCGATCGTAACGTGAGCGACCAGCGCGGCGCAGAGCGGCGCAAGAGTGAGTGCCGTGCGGAGCTGTGTGTGTGGGTGTGCGCGTACGTAATTAACCATGCCTGCTACGCGGACCCGCGGTGGAGGGGAATCCTCGGGCGACGGCTCCCACACCATGGGTGAGGAACTCAGCAGCGGTTCGCTTAGCAGTGGGGGGGCGATTGATGATGCTAGCCCGGCCGTTAGCATTATCGAGGGAGGGATTTCGGGGGCTAGCGACCCCCGCAAATTGGTGTCAGAAGCGGTACGGACCCCCGCGTTACCTCACGCTAAAATAAGACTAATATTTACCGGCCGGGGGGCCCCTTCGTGGAAGGCATTCGCCCGCAATCTCTTAGGGGCCAAGGAAATTAATGGATGGACGGACGCGCAGGCAGTACGTCAACTTAATATGAATCTTGATGGGCGGGCAGCCGATTTTGTAGAAGCGTTACCCGCGAGCGCACAGACACAGCTAGAGGAGCTGATGCGCCGACTCGATCAGCGTTTTGGCACGCGTGACGAGGAGGAAGCAAAATCGGCCTTAGAGGCGCGCCGGCGCCAACCTGGCGAAGATCTCTGTGATTACGCCGAGGATGTGCACGAGTTAACAAAGATCGCACGCCCGGGGTACGCAACTGATGTTATTGAGGAACTGGCCGCCGAGAAAATCCAGCGGTACCTGTCTCGCACGGCGTGGTGGCAGCCAGACATAAGCTGCCCACGTCTTCCCTTTAACACCCTTGTCGAGCGCGCACGTAAGTGTGAAAGAATTCACAGCGAACGCGCGCAGCTCCGGGGGCTGGGACGAGAGCGCGCCATTGCGAGCCTGCTCTCGGAAGACGAGGAGGAGGAACAGGAGCTCGCGAGGACGGTAAGGGGCCGGGAAAGAGAGCCACAGAGACCCAGCGAGACGACCCCGGGGTGGGTAGCCGGGTTACAGGCCGGCATGGGAGATATGATAACCCAAGTAGGTGAGAGGGTAACTCACGTAGGTGAAAGGGTAACCCAGGTACGCGAGGAAGCAAATAAAAATATGACCAAACTGCAATCCTCCGTTGAGACCATCCGATCCGAAATGGGGGACCTACGCGCCACGGTGGGAGGGTTATCTGGGAGGGTAGCCCGACTAGAGGCGGAGGGTGGACAGCGGCGTAATGGGGGGGGAGGGAGCGGACAGGGGACCCGCTACGGAACCGCCCCCCCTCCCCGGGCATGTTATATGTGCGATCGCCGAGGGCATCTAGTGAGGGATTGTCCGGAAATCACCCGAGCTAGACAGACGCGGGGGTTAAACTCCAACGCCCCCTAGAGAGCGGACCAACTAGGGGTGCAATCGACGCGGTCCCGATACAAATAGACGATAATGAGAATAGTGGTGAGCGAGTGATCTCCACACAGGTTCCAGCAACAACGCCCACGGAAACGGTGACTCCTGGCGACTGGCTGCGGGAGCTGGTGGCGGGGATCACGGGGGCCACGTCGCTGGTGGAAGGGGAGGTAAACGGAGTGCGTACCCGCATCCTACTGGACACGGGGGCGGTGGCCTCGCTTGTGAGCGCAGCGCACTGCAGCGCGATCGGGGTCGACGTGCGTCACCTGCAGGCCCCGGACCGCGCGCTGCACACTGCGAGCGGAGCCGGAATGGGGCTGCTGGGGAGAGCCACCCTAGAGGTCCGCATAGGCAGCCAGGTGTGCACGCAGGAGTTCTACGTGTCGAGTGCGTTGTGTCACGAGTGTATCGCAGGCACCGACCTCCTAGAACGGTTGGGACTCAACGTGCAACCCCGCCAGCGATGCGCCACCATGGAGAGCAACGGCGAGCGGATACCGTTCCTGGGACGAGAACCAACGCGCCGCCGCTTTGCACCTGTGGCCGCTATCCTGGCGACGGCAGTCACCATCGGCCCGCTCACCGAGATGCTGGTGCCGGTGGCAACATCCCCCACCGACCCCGCGCTCCGACCATCAGGGGAGGTAATGCTAACTCCTCACCCGGAGTTGGCAAAACGGTATGGGGTTGTGGGATCCGCCACGTTGGTAAACGCAGATGGGGACCGATTGTTTATGCGGATGTTTAACCCCCACAATACCCCAGCGATACTGCGACGGCGCACCCCGATAGCCACAGTACACCCCCTGCACGCACGCCACTCTAACGACTCGGTGTTCGCACTCTGGGCTGAGGACCCCGGTCGTCCTGAGGGTGAGCAGGACCTGGCCTGGCGAGTCGGCCCGACTCCCCGAGCCGAGGTCGTTCCCCTGCTCGACGCGTTACATGTACCATGAACGGACTTACCTAAGGGAGAGGCCGATCGGCTGCGCGAGTTACTGCGGGAGTATGCCGACGTGTTCAGCGAACACGACTCGGACGTGGGTCGGACCGACCTTGTTAAGCATCAAATTGACACCGGTGCAGCCCGACCCATCAAACTCCCTGCGTACCGAGTGGGCGCACCCGAACGTGCCCAAATCAAAGAGGCAGTTGGGGACATGCTTCGCGATAACATAATTCAGCCCTCGGCGAGCCCCTGGTCAGCCCCGGTGGTACTAGTAACGAAAAAGGATGGGTCAACCCGGTTCTGCGTCGATTACCGTAAACTAAATGCAGTCACGCTCGGCGATGCCTTCCCCATACCCCGCATCGACGACACCTTCGACAGTCTCGCAGGAGCGCGGTATTTTTCCACCCTCGATCTGGCGTCCGGTTACTGGCAGGTGGAGATGACGGAGGAGGATCGGCCAAAAACAGCAT